CTACCAACCACTGAGTTTCGGAAATCACCCCACCTTTACCTGCTCAATAGACTCAATAGAGAGGGCTGAAGTGTCTTGCAAAGCTGTGCCGATATAATGGTTTTAAAGCCAGGCAGAGACATGTTGGATCTTGGCCATACATTGTAGGGAATTGTAGTAAAATCAATTAGTAGGAATAAGGCTGCTGTGACTAATGAGCTAATGAGTGATGCCTGAGTGGAAATGGCTCTAGGAGAGCTGCAGGGTTGGATTCCTGATGCATTATTCATAGGGATAGGCCAGATTTTGTTTTAGCACTGTTTATTTTTTACTTTGCTTTTCCAGGTTCCTCTAACTTTTAAAGACGTTCCTCAACAATGGAGCAAATGGAGAAGGAAAAAAGTATCTGTTTAATTCCTCTCTTTCCACTGCAAAGTGGTGCTCATCTCTGGAGAGCTGTGGTTTCTACAAGAGATAGATGGGGGACACGATGCATCAGAAGTGAAGTTCATAGCAATTTAATCCCTGGAACTCTGCAGGTTTATTGATTAAACTAACTCATCCTTGCTGCTGACTTCCTTAAGTGCCTTTCATCATCGACGCTATTTTGAATCCGCTAAGAGAAAACTGTGATTTTTTTTAACAATTCTCCTCTCTAGCCTTTCTGCTGCATAGCTTATATTGCAGTTACAATCAGCCCTACAACATGCACCAACTTTACATGTAGAAAGGGGAAACTGAGGTTAGTTTTCCAGGGTCAGCCAGCAAATCCTTGACAGAGCTTAGAATAAACCTCTAAGGACGTGGCTTTCAGGCCAGGACTCACTCTTGTTGCTTCTAGCAACTCATGCACCTCCTCTCAGGGTTGCACAAAAATAACAGAGGAGGACTGATGAAAAAGCAGCATTAACTAGTGGTTAAACTATGTGGAATACAATGCTGGCTCTGTTTCTGGAGTCGTTACTACCTGGCTCCATGAACCCCATTAACCTCTCTGTAGATCGGCTTCCTTATGTCTGATTTTGAGATAATATTTACTCATTTTACAGGAGTTTTTTGGGGGTTTAACCTACTTAGCAACTCATGCACCTCCTCTCAGGGTTGCACAAAAATAACAGAGGAGGACTGATGAAAAAGCAGCATTAACTAGTGGTTAAACTATGTGGAATACAATGCTGGCTCTGTTTCTGGAGTCGTTACTACCTGGCTCCATGAACCCCATTAACCTCTCTGTAGATCGGCTTCCTTATGTCTGATTTTGAGATAATATTTACTCATTTTACAGGAGTTTTTTGGGGGTTTAACCTACTAGTAGGTGTGCAGTAAAAGCTCAGCACTCCATATGACACTGCCATGTCAGCACCCCTCCACATCTACCTTTGAATCTAGTCACAGATTTTCCTCTTACAACTCCATATGACACTGCCATGTCAGCACCCCTCCACATCTACCTCTGAATCCAGTCACAGATTTTGCTCCTACGTCTCTCTGCTCTGGAAAGCTGTGGGATTCCTAGGACATATATAAAGAGTTGATTAGAATCAAGAAAATTGAGTTTAAGATCATACAATCATAGAATTGTCTTGGTTGGAAGGGACCTCTCAGACCATTGAGTCCAACCATCAACATAACGCTGCCAAAGCCATCACTAAACCAAGTCCCTCAGCATCATGTCTACTCATCTTTTAAATACCTCCGGAGATGGCAACTCAGCCATTTCCCTGGGCAGCCTCTTCTTGATAACCTCTTTGGTGAAGAAATTTTTCCTAAATTCCTAAGTTCCTAAACCTCTCCTCATAACCCTTTTGGTGAAGAAATTTTTCCTAGCATCCATCCTAAACCTCTCCTGGTGCAAATGGCCTGACAAGAGGCCATTTCCTCTTGTCCTATCACCTGTTACCTGGGAGAAAAGACCAGCCCCCACCTCTCTACAGCTTCCTTTCAGGTAGTTGGAGAGTGATAAGGTGTCCCCTCAAATGGTCAAGTGAAGAAGGCTCTCAGTTGAAACCAGTGCTTACGCTTCTCTAAGCACACGTGGCCACAATCCTTGAAGCTCTGCCCTGGAGGTGGATGGACCTATCTTAGGATATGCCCAGTGGGACCTCCTCAGCCTGGTAATTAGGCAGTGAAGCAAGTCTGTTGGAAGGTTACAGGATCTGGAGACTATTTCCAGCCTGGACGCAACTGTTGCAGGACTGCTCCCATCAGATGAAGATGCCTCCACCCAGAGCCTGTCTCAGCTGGCCAGGTAGGATAGGAAAGGGGTTTGGCACAGGTTTCTCAGGCTAGAAGTAAACATTTGCCCCTGAACTTTTCCTTTTATTTATGATTACAAACTCCTCTGAAATGCAGAGTTTTTGTACTAGTTTGCCTTTAAACACATACCTAGAAAATGTCTTTCTTTTTTTTTTCCCCAAATCCATCCTGTGGGTTGTTGGGGCAGATTTACAGAGCTTGTGTCTTTTTTTTTTTTTTTTTCCCTCTGTAGTTAATGGAAAACCCCCAACACAATAGGCTGTGATTACCCACAAAAGAATAGAAGGGGTTCAATAAAAACACTGTTTGGATGTTCCCATTAATTCTTATTATTTCTTTGGTGATGTGCCAACACTGCAAAGCAATTGCACAGGGTGTGCATAAAAGAGGAAACCTTTCAGGTGATGCTTAAAGACTCAGATAAGATCAACTGAAACTATAAACAAGGGAGGTATGTTGTCACTCCCCCTCCCCAAAACAACCCTCCAAACTGAAGGAGGGCACAGGTTTTAAGCAGGGTGTTGGCATATATTCTTCCATCCAAAATCTTACAATGCAGTGAAGATCACATTTCAGAAGTGCATGTGAAACCAATCATCTGGCACACATTGTTTGAGGCCATTTAATACCAGAAACCAGAAACCACACCCTTTTCCATGTTTAGGTTTGGGGGTTTTTCCTAAGAACAAAGCAAACACAATCAACATATTTCCCCTTTCTGAAGAGGATTAAAAAATTCTCTCCTGAACGTGAAGAATGCCAAACCAGGAATATAAGATCACATTTCAGAAGTGCATGTGAAACCAATCATCTGGCACACATTGTTTGAGGCCATTTAATACCAGAAACCAGAAACCACACCCTTTTCCATGTTTAGGTTTGGGGGTTTTTCCTAAGAACAAAGCAAACACAATCAACATATTTCCCCTTTCTGAAGAGGATTAAAAAATTCTCTCCTGAACGCGAAGAATGCCAAACCAGGAATATACCAAAAATGCCTTTCCCTAGATAATTTTGGGCTAGAAATAACTGCTAAACTTTCATAATGAACAGAATGACTGTATTATGGAGGCCACATGAATACAATGGGTCCAAATTCCTGAGGGAGTAGATCACCCAGAATTAGTGTGTGTAAGTGAGACATGACTTGCTAAAATGATGACACTGTTCCTAGATTTGGAGACATGAGGACGGGGTTGTTTATCTGGGAATAAGAGAGGACCCTTTGCTTTGAACATTTCAAGAATTCAAGTGATATTAAACCTGAATAGTTCCTCTGATGGTGTGGTAGATAACAAAGGTGGTGGGAACACCTCCAAGAACAGCTTTGTTTCAGCTCTCCCTCCTTTCTTTCCATATTAAAACTGCAGAAAGGGCTCTTCCTTACCAGTTTTTGCAATCCCCCAACCAAATGTGCCTGTCACACATTGTAGGAGGGTTTATTAGCACGGGGCTGGTCTGAGGCACAGGAAAAGCAGGCAGATGCCTGGTTCAGCAGGGCTTGGGGGTGGGAAAGCCGCGGTTTTTGGCAAGCAAAGATGTTGTGGGTTGGCTGCCAGGCTTGGAGAAGGTTGGCTCAGACCAGAGTGGCTTCTCCATGTACCATCCTCCCTGAACAGTTCAGGGGAGTGAGCCTGAGACACTCCCTTGGCCCAGACTTTCATGGCCTGGTCCTGTTTTCTTCCCAGTGCTCCTGTTATTGAAAGAAAACGATCAACAGTCACAAAAAAATCAAGTTTTGAAACCAGGTGGGTTTATGTAGTTGGTGAATGGGGCATCAGACCTTGGTGACGCCAAGATGACGTCAAACAAAGATAATAAGAGTCTCAAGAGAAAAGAATGGTAGATTTCTATTTTCATATGTAAAGTTAGGACTGAAAAATGACCGACCAATCATTTACTTTACTGTAGTTTATTCTTTGTTTTTATTTGGTATATAAGACCCTGATTATTTCCCAAAAGGTGTGCCAGCTCTGGGAATTATCGCCCAGCACCCTTTTCTGCACAGAACTGGGATAAAACAAATATCTCTGCTCCACGTGTCGATTGGTTTTTGCACACCGGGTAAAGAACCCAGATTCGGGACAACGGTCCCACCACCTGTGTCTTGTAGAGGACACGGAGAGGAGAGAGGAAGATGTCCTGCTTCCACCCACAGTCCCCTGAAACAGCTTGGGGAGAGGTTTTATAATACAAAGCCCCCAACCATGCTGTTTCTGGTGAGAAAGGGACTGCAAGGCATTTTTCCCCTTCTCCTCCTGGTGATAAACTCCTGCCCCAACTGGGGGTAAAAACACAGAGGGAAAAGTACATGGGGTTTAATGCCTTGCTGTGAACAGCTACGGACTCTTCCCCACTCTGGGTTCCTGGAAATCACCCAGGTCTCTCTAACCACTACAAAAAAAAGCAGAAATATCAACAAGCTGCAGGGCAAGGCATGGACACTGGGATTATTTAATACCCCTGGGTTTAGACGTCATGCCCAGACACAAAGCACCCGGCTTAAACAAGCTCAGCTATTGTCCACCATGCAAAACCTCATTTTCTTCTCCAAGGGACATGAAAAGAGATGACGGTATGGCAGGAGGTGGGGCCCGCTCTGTAGCTCTTTCAATTCATTTATAGCTCGATCAGACTCGTTTTTCCAGTAGAATTGGATCTTGGGTCGGAATCGGTACATGGCAAGCCACCAGGAGGTGTTCCATTAAAGCCAGTGGTGAAGAGCGGTGGCAGCTCAGTGACCTGGTGACGAGGGTCCATGCAAGATGAAGGTGTTTCTGTCTCTTCTGTTGGTTGCCTTTGCTTGCATGGAGTTTGGTAAGTCCTTGCTCTGCCTTATCCAAACTCCTGCAGGAGACACAGCATGATGGGATGGGGTGCGTCCTGATCCCTCTGAAGTCTGTGCCTCCTACTGTGAGCAGTTTTCAGCAAAAAAATCTGTCTTTGGAATATTTCTAGCCTGTCGTATTCTAGGGATCATTGTGGTCTCATTGGGATTATTAGTTCAGGCTCTTTAGGAAGTGTTACAAAACAAAGTGTGTTTATATCATGTCATTTCTTTAATGCAATTTCCAGCTCTTGATTTTTACTGTTCTTGTTCAACCTGACTCTCATCTTCTAGGTTTTTTTGTTTTATTTTGTTTTGTTTTTCTTTTTTTTAATATTTCTGTTCCTCTTCTGACATTTAACCCTGAAGCCAGATAGACAGCTTAATGCAGTGTGTGTAGCGGCTTTCTCTAATGATGGGTTTCATGTGTGGCTTATTAAACTTCAGCCACTAGAAGCGGGAAAGATGGGCTGGGACTTTAAGCTGGTGGCCCAGGTATTGCAGAGCTGATGTTTGTAGCTCTGTTTAGTAATACACTGTGGTTTGCATGAAGTCAAAGACAGTTTTGGCAGGCCACCTTGTAAAACAAACAAGTGTGAAGTGTTTGGGGGATTTTCTGCATTTGAAGGAGGATTTGAGAGTTTGTCACCACAGGGAGTGATCCTCCCTCCCTCATTTCTGTCCCCATGTGGCTATCTCTCACCTTGCTGGAGGTGGTAGGCTTGAAGAACACAGTGAAGGTGGGCAGCCAACAGCAGCCTGATACTGGGGGTGACCCATCTGGGATGTGGAGGTAGGGAACACTCTCCATGAACCCAGTCTGTACAGGGATGCCATGCAAACCTTAGCCCTCCCTTTCTATCAGTGGGATTCAGTTGCTTCTCCATCACCAACTCCACGGAGCCAAACATGGATGGATATTTGGGATATGAGTGTTTTCATTCCCTAGGATGTAGAGATTCCCCTCATCGTAGGCAGTCCTACATGAGTTGGGGGTACCATAACCAGTGGTTTGCATGAAGTCAAAGACAGTTTTGGCAGGCCACCTTGTAAAACAAACAAGTGTGAAGTGTTTGGGGGATTTTCTGCATTTGAAGGAGGATTTGAGAGTTTGTCACCACAGGGAGTGATCCTCCCTCCCTCATTTCTGTCCCCATGTGGCTATCTCTCACCTTGCTGGAGGTGGTAGGCTTGAAGAACACAGTGAAGGTGGGCAGCCAACAGCAGCCTGATATTGGCGGTGACCCATCTGGGATGTGGAGGTAGGGAACACTCTCCATGAGTCCAGTCTGTACAGGGATGCCGTGCAAACCTTAGCCCTTCCTTTCTATCAGTGGGATTCAGTTGCTTCTCCTCCATCACCAACTCCACGGAGCCAAACATGGATGAATATTTGGGATATGAGTGTTTTCATTCCCTAGGATGTAGAGATTCCCCTCATCGTAGGCAGTCCTACATGAGTTGGGGGTACCATAACCTCTAATGGTGGAAGGTGACTGCATAGGAGTCAGAACACCCTGGCACAGACTCCCCATCCCTTGATGATGCCACCAGAGTAACTTCTTGCATAAAAGCCTTATTTTATACTGACGTTCCCAAACTCATAGCTGGTGTTAGCTTGGTTGGCCAAGGAAGTCCTACACAGGGTCAGCGCAGGAGCTGTGATTGTAAATTGGGATGTTTGCATGCTCTGCACATGTCTTCCAGATCCAGGCAGTGTAGGGTCTGATTTTATCTGTGCCTGGCTGGGATGTGGAGCTATGGTAAGATTTTTTCCCTTTACATTTATTTTCTTCTTATATAAGGACTTTTTTCCTCTACCATCTCCTCTATCAGTCTGCAAAGCAGATTCTGCGGGGGAGGAACAAGTGGGTGGAGAAAGAAGAGGAATTTGGAGGACTTTTTGGGAGAACACAGCTACTGGTTGGAGAGGCAGACCCAGAGCTGGAACAGTAGCTCTCTCTTTGTGTAATGTACTGACTGTCCTGTTATCTCTAAGACTTGTTCCTGGCTCTGGCCACTGGTAGTTCAAAGCCTTGGGGTGTTTGTGCTGTGTGTCAAGATCAGTGGGACCTTCATATGCTCACCACAGCTGCTACAGTAGAGATCAATTATCACTGGTTTCCAGAGCAGGAGATTTTTCCTTTCATCATTATATCATGTTCATTCTGGGGATTCATGTCTGCTTGTCAATGGAGAGACAGCAGTTCAGAGAGGAACATCATTATTTAATAGAGGAGAGAAGGAGACTCTATAGTCAGATCTCCTTAAGAGATGGGCAGGAATCTGAAAGGCAGAATGGAACAGGAAAGCAATGGGGTGGGATACAAATTTGGTCTAGGATTGAGTTACCAACCTAATTTTGCCAACCTACTTAGTAAGACTTTGTCAAGAGTTGGGTAGCTGAAGGGAAGCAGCTCCTGCTGTGACCCAACACAGCCACATTTCTCTCTTCTGGTCCTTCCCCACTTCATTGTCCCATTCTGGAAGGTACAGTCAGGATGGATGCTTTGATTTGGCAGGCAAACACTGGCAGATTTTTGGAAACTTCACAGTGGATTTGGCAAGCAGAATTTTCTTCTGCACACTCTCTCCTCTGCAAAGCTGACCATAAACCATGACATATCTGTAGCTCCTCCAAGCTTTCATCTGAGCCTGAGTGGAATCTGTACTTTTGGCATGTCCTGGAAAGACACTCAGAGTTGAAGGGTGGATAATCTGCCAATATCCAAGTGGAGCTAACAAAACTTCTAAGAAATTCCAAAATCTGTTTTTTTATCTCCTCTTTTGCTTTCAGCACTCTAAAAAGAATGTGTTATAATTGCATTAAAATAAACACCTCTTCTTTTAAAGAAGGCTTCTAATGTGTCTCTATTCCTTTTCATAGTGTAATTTCATTTTTAAGCTACTGCATGTCTGCTTGTCTATGTCATGTATAAGTTCATAAGCTGTTAAAACAAAAGGGGACCACTACATTTTTGTTATCTGCACAAATCTCTACCTTTCATAAATAGACTGGACAGATATTCCAAAGCTGGCTTAAAATGGAGCTTTTAGACCACAGGTATTTAAGTCTTCCAGTCACGGTGTTTCTTCCCTGCTCTGTGAGGTGCCAACTGACTATTGCTGCTGAGGGGCTGCCTCCTTTGCAAAAGTAAAGTTGTTTTATTCCAGCTTTTGGTTATTTTCCAGTGTTAAGCACTTCCTGATCTGCTGTCTTTTCCATCTCAAAAACCCCCAGCCCAATTCAGAGCTATAGCTGCTATTTAACATATTTAGCTGTGTTTGAACCTGTTAGTCTCAGTAAGGCTAATGAAAATACTGGGTTTGCACAAGTTGGGGACAATGTTTTCTTAATTTGATGTCCTTTGTGCTTATCTTTTGTTTGGAAATTTTTTTTCCGAAGAGGAACACAAATCCTGTGGCTTTGACTTGTCCAGTGATGAGTATCATGAAATCTGGGAATAATGACAAAGCTTCCTCCCTAAAGATGCATTTGACAGCTGTCAGACATAGAATTAATGCAAACAAAACACCAGTCCACAATGGGCAAACCAGAATAATAATGTTTGCTTTGAATACAAGCAAGATAATTGCTGTGTCTGTTTATAAAAGGGCTCTTTCTGGCTTACTGGTTAGGGTGAAGTTGCATTATCTATTTTCATAAGGTGGTTTGCTTGCCCGAGCCTGCTGTTATGACACCCCACTTTAGGCATGCAGAGATGAGCTGAACTGTTTTTCCATTTCAATGGGGTTTAAAGGGATTTCTTCAGGGTTGTCACACAGATGGGGTAAGAGCTGCTTTCCAGATCAAGGAGGGTCTGTGATGGTACCAAATATGCTTTGCTATGACTGTAAAGCACACACATTCAGGTGTCTGCTGGATGGTGCAAGTGTTGGGTTCCTCAGAAAGACCTGCAGAGAGTAAAGAACCCTGAAAAACTTGTCCAAAAATGGCTTCTCTGGAGATAGGAAATACCAGACACAATTTTGGCTTGATATCTTTACCTTGGAGTGCTCTGGAAATACTACATCACTACAGTCTGGTCTCTTCAGTGTCTCTCTCTCTGAAATCTCTTCACCTCAAAAGACTTCAGGTACTGAAGGACTTGGACTGTGGTTATTCTGCATGTCTAGCAGCTAATTGTCACCTGCAGACTTGCAAGGGCTTTTGCAGCTCAACAAGAAGGTGATGAAGAACACCTAGGAATTGGTGAGTGATGAGGCAGGGTGAGGTACCTCAGACTGGATTTGGGGACACTGTCTCCCATAAGATCCTCATAGCCAAGCTGTTGAAGTACAAACTGGATGAGCAGCCAGTGAGGTGGAGTGAAAACTGGCTAGATGGTTGAGCCCAGGGAGTGGAGATCACTGGTACGAAGTCTGCTTGAAGGTTAATGACTTGAAGTGTACCCCAGAGGTCAATATTGGGTCCATTTCTTAACATTGTCATTAATGATCTGGATGATGGGGCAGAGTGCACCCTCAGCAAGTTTGCAGATGCCAGAAAACTGGGTGGAGTGGCTGGTATACCAGAGGATTGTGCTGCCATCCAGAGGGACCTCGCCAGGGTGGAGATATCAGCTGATAGGAACCTCAGGCAATTCAACAAGGAGAAGTGCAAAGTCATGCACATGGGGAGGAATCACCTCATGCACCTATATATGCTGGGGTCCATCCACCTGGAAAGCAGCTTTGCTGAAAAGGACCCTCGGGTCCTGGTGGACACCAGGTTGAAGATGAGCCAGGAATCAGCCCTTGCTGCAAAGAAGGCTAATGGTTTCCAGGGTTGCATTAGATGAAGTATTGTCTACAGGTCAAGGGAGGTGATCATCCCCTCTACTCAACATTGATGAGGCCACACCTGGAGTCCTATGTCCAGTTCTAGACACCTCAGTACAAGAGAGACATGGACATACTGGAGAGAGTCCAACAAAGGGCCACAAAGATGATGGAGGGACTGGTGCATCTATGCTTTGAGGAAAAGCTGGAAGAGCTGGGACTGTTCAGCCTGGAGAAGAGACGGCTCAGGGGGATCTCATCAATGTCTATAAATACCTGAAGGGAAGGTGCAAAAAAGATAGAGACAGGCTCTTTTCAGTAGTGCCCAGTGGCAGGACAAGAGGCCACAGGCACAAGCTGAAATGCAGGAAGTTCCCTCTGAACATCAGAAAACATATTTTTACTGTGAGGGTGACTGACAACTGGCACAGATTGCTCAGGGAGGTTGGGGAGCCTCTTTCCTTGGAGATATTAAAAGCCCAGCTGGACAATGTCCTGGTCAACTGGATCCAGGTAGTCCTGATTGAGCAGGGGTATTGGACTAGATGACTTCCAGAGGTCCCTTCCAACCTCCACCATTCTGTGATTCTGTGAATTTGTGAGTCTGTGAATCTGTGATCTCTTTCTGAGGCTCTGCTGATGCAAAGTCAAGGAGAAAAGCAGATGCAAAGTAAGAACAGGGTTGAGGCAAACCAGCTACTACAAGTGTGTTTACTCTCCTGTGGGAATAACAGAGATTAAAGGAAATTGGGGATGTGGTTGGCTGGCAAGCAGAACAATTAGATACTCGTCATAAATATCTGAAGCAGGGTCTATTGACTAATTGTGATAATGATTAAAATACAAACATCTCACTAATTGCACTGTTGAAGTATTGGGCTTCTCCTGGGTCCCTGCACGGGGTCGCTGTGTGTTTTAGGTTGCTGCTTGCAGCTGGGGCAAGATAGACAAGGAATTCAAGCACTGACATGTCACATCTTGCAAAATCTGTCTGCTGGCACCCAGCCACCACAGAACAGTCACCCCTGTCTTAGGCAACCCGATTACCACCACAGTGATAAGGCAGAAACAGGTGGGCAAAACAACTCCTCCTGTATATTTTCGTTAATTTACTGAAAACAATTCTTTTTTTTTTTATCACGCCCATAATTTTTATTGGTTTTTGAATGTCCCAGCACTTTCAGCCCATATTTACTACGTGTTCTAGAGTGCAGATCCAAAAATTAAGTAATATTACCCTTTAACTCTCTTGTGGACTACTTAAGACCCATCTACAAAAAAAAAAACCCAGCTTACCAAAACCCCAATAACAAAGCAAGAGCAGAAAGACCATCTTTGTGCCCCAAACATTCAGCCACTTGGTGTTGATAGGACTTTCCTGTATCATGGGGTCTTCTGTGTGTGTGGCTCTGTCTTGTTTGACTCATAACAAGGGGTCTGAACCCATATCTGAGGCCGTGCTTTCACCACCAAACTACTGTATTTCTCCTTCCCATCAGTAAAAGCACCTTTTACTGTTCCATTCCTGTTCTCAGTATGAGTATTTTGGGACGATACCTTCTCCAGAGGTTCCTGGAGAGGCACAGAGAGAATATGGTGGTTCCCACTAAGGCCAACCTAATGTTTTATCACCTTGCAGCACAAACCTTGCAATGTTACACGTGCCATGAACCTACCACTGCCGAAAATTGCCTGAAGATCCAGAACTGCACAAAGAATGAAACTATGTGCAAGACAACCATGTATTCCTTGGAGGATGGTAAGGGCAATTACTTCTTTATCCCTGTTTTTAACATGAGTCAGTGTTTCTACAATGACGACTGCTGGTGTGGGGACTAGTACCTTTTCTCACTTAAGGACAGGCTGAGAGAGCTGTTGGGGTTCAGCCTGGAGATGAGAAGGCTCCAGGGAGACCTTAGAAACCCTTCCAGTACCTAAAGGGGCTCCAGGAAAATTAGGGAGAGACTCTTGATCAGGGAGTGGAGTGGCAAGATGAGGGGGAATGGTTTTAAACTGAAAGAGGGGAGATTCAAATGAGATATTAGGAAGAAATTCCTTTCTGTGAAGATGGTGAGACACTGGAACATGATGCCCAGAGAAGCTGTGGGTGCCCCATCCCTGGAGGTGTTCAAGGCCAGATTCTAAATATGCTTAGTGAATGCTCATAGTTAATGCTCAGAGCATGGTTAGAAATAACATGTTGCCTTGAGCTGGAGGCATGGAGCTAAAGAATTCTGGGTCTCCAGAGCATTTGCATGACTTGCATAATGGGTGTGTGCTAAACAGTGCTCTCGTGACCCCAGAACTGTTTATGAAAGCTGGGTAGAGTAGACAAGCCAGTACAGATGAGCCAAGAACCATTGCTTTTCGCAATGAGGTGCGAATAACAATTTCTGGTCATCTGGAGGCAAAATAGAAGCACTCTAGAGTTTTCTGGAGCTCTCAGGAAGCCATCTTCAGTCTGGCTGGTGATCCTACATGTCATAAGCTGTCCAAAACAAGAAATGCACTGCAAAGGTGCTCTCTTTCACGTGGTCCTGCTGAGAAGGCTCTGGTTGCACATGGGAGAGGCAGGACATAGTGAGTAGAGTCAAAGTAGAGGCAGAAAAAGTGTTTAGTTGACCTTCTGCACCATAAAACTGATGCAGACAGGACACAGAGGATACAAGGTGCTGTTCAGCTTGTGGCCACTCAGTGGGAACTGTTTTCTATATTCCTGGTAGGAAATAGACCCATCGGGTTTGAACTGGAGCTAAGACTTTTGTGGTGAAGGCAGCTAAAGTTTCACTAGGGACAAGGAGAGTTCTCCTCCATTCCTCCCATTCCTAACTGTTCCTTCTTTTTCTCTTTGCTGTAGTTTATCCCTTCATGGGTGTCTCGACCGTTACCAAGATGTGCTCTTCTGTCTGCATCCCATCCGATGTGGACGGGATTGGCATGACACGCCCTGTCTCCTGCTGTTACTCTGACTTGTGCAACACCGATGGTGCAGCTGGTTTGAAGAGCAGCTTTTTACCAGTTGGGCTGCTAGCAAGTTCCCTCTGTGCCCTCTTCTGGACTAGGCTGTGAGAATCTGATGGGGAGGTCTTTCATGCTGAAGAACCCAATGAAGAAGATAATAAACCCCTGCCAGCTCTGCTTTCTCTTTGGATGCCTCATGGACAACCCTCAGCATCTCCTAGAAATTGTTTTTTTTTAGTATCTGCTCTTTTCCCACAACCAAGAGACAAGAAAAACTCAGGAAGTCCTGACAAAAGTTTTTGAATTGATTCTTCCGCAGCTTCCACAAAACTAACTATGGAGTTCCTTTGCCGTGCTGGTCAGGTTGGTTGGGTTTGAACTAAAAAATTCTGCAGTATGAAATATAATTAAAGCAAAAAACCTTGCACTAAGAGCTTTCTGTACCTCCTTAGAGCATTTTTCCCTCAGGTGTTAGCCAGCAGAATAGCTGAATTTGCCATCTTCTCCTTCTTTGTACACAAGAAATTAAGGAGACACTTCCGTGTCCAAAATATGAGTCAGGAGACTATATTTCCCATGCCAGTGATCTGATCCAAGGAGGCTAAAATCTTTTCTGTACCCTTTTAAGCAGAATAAAAAGAATGTTGTGTTAAAACTGCAGTGATCAGTGAAGTTATTTATAGTTCATCTGCCCTCTGATAAATTTATTATTTTATTTTATTTTATTTTATTTTTCACTTTAATTTTATTTCCAAACTCCAGTTCCACTTTCCAGTACTGTTTTTACAGAGAGATGATTCAAGTTTTGTGGTCAGTCTTCCAGTAGATGTGTAAGATGTTTCCCATTATCCCCCACTGGCAGTGGCCTTCCATCAACTTTTCTTCTACCAACTCCACTGGTACGAAACTATCTTTACTTGGAAGACTGGGTGATTTGTGTTAACAATTCTGGTCTGAATTTGGAATTCAGTGGAATGACTTTTGCCCTTGCTTCAGTCCTCCAGAGCATCATCTGCAATTCCTTGTGTGGTGCTAAGGGCTTCTACATTTTGGTGTTATCCATCCTGGTCTGGTTCTTCATTTTCCTATAATCCCCTTTACAAGATTCAGCAAAAATATCCTTCTCTAATTATCACTCTGTTTGTGATATTTGAAACAAACAATAAAAATACGATTTTATTCTTCTATGTAGCTTATATATTAGAGCAAGTTTCCAAGAGAGGTAGCACAATTTCCATCTGTGGAACATGACTCAGCTGGATGAAGTCCTGAGGAACCTGGGCTAACTTCACAGTTGAGACCTTTGATTGGAACCTTGGATTAGAAACCTCCTGAGGTTCCCCTTCCAACCTGATTTTCCTGTAATCTTGTGATAGTCCTACTAAGATCACCCGAGAACAACCATCATTATTTCCAGGCATTCTTCAAAGTCTGGCAAATTTTTCCTGATGTCCTGATCTAAACCTCACATGACACAACTTGAGGCCATTTCCTCTTGTCCTACCGCCTGATCCTTGGGAGAAGAGACGAACCCCACCTTGCTACACCCTCCATTCAGGTAGTTGTAGAGAGCAGTAAGGTCTCCCTTCAACTTCCTTTTCTCCAGGCTAAAACACCCCAGTTCCCTCAGCCACTTCTCATAAGACTTGTGCTCTAGACCCTTCATGAGCTCCCTTGCCCTTCTCTACACACTCCAGCACCTCAATGTCCCTCCTCTAGCGGGGGCCCCAAAAATGGTATCAGTCATGAGCTCATGAGTACACAAACCCATCTGTACTCCAGGTACCAAGTGCAACAGAGAGAATACCATTAAAATCCCAAATGAGCTCCATGGGTAAAGAAGGGTGTCAAATATTCTCACCAGTCCCAGGACATGCATGAGTGCCAAGATGTGAAGTGGGCACTTCATGTCCTTGCTGTGCTATTGCTAAGACCTAACACTAATGGGATTTATTATGCACTGGAAAAATGCAATGGTGACAGGACACCTCGTGGCCACTGGGTTCTGTCATGGCCACCCCTCTGCTTTTCATTGCATCACAGTACGATGTTTGTCACATCCAGAAGCCCAGGACACTTTACCATAGACAGTAACTTCTTTCTACAAGCTGAAGAAATGGAATTTTCCCTGAGAGCAGAGGTGGAGCCCAGATTTGTGGATAAGCATTTCCCCAGTTCTGTCCATAGGCGCTTGTGACAAACCGTATTTTATCTTCTTTCTCCAAACAAAGCCAAAGGGAGCCCCATTTATTTTGCATTGTTGTAAATGAAGGGTTTATTAGGACATGGTTAAAATACCTGGCCGCTCACTTACTTGTTAGGGATAGAAAAAATACTAGACATTTCCTATTCACTGTCCAGAACCATATTTATGTTGGCACTTGTGTGTGCAAAACTCAGAAAGAAATACAACTTTCACACATTTTCACTGCACAGCACTGCTCTTTCTCAGACATGAGTTACTGGGCTCAGCCTACCCTGTCCTCACCCCGTGTTGGTTGATAAGCAGTGCAGTCATGGCCCAGAACATCACAAAATTATCATGTCAGGGTGCTTTTAAAAACAAATACATCAGCAGCCAGATTATTGCGTTATATCGTCCTCTTAGAGAGCAACGCTAAAAATACCACTGCGGTCATGGACCCTGAGAGTATAAGTCATGGGTAGAGATAGAGAAAATGCTTGAAACCAAGCCACCTTGGGAAGGTGAGAGGAGCATATACGGCTGGTGGAGCTAAAGTCACGTCACTGGAAAAGTGCACAGAAGACAAACCATTGGTACCCATTGCAAGAGATGATGATATAGCTCTCTAACCCAGTAAACACAATACTGGTATTGCTCCTACCAGGCCATGCTCTTTCTATTGAGTTTGCAAGTCCTCAGGGCTGAGGCTTGTTGGGCTTTCTTTGCCTGAACTTGTCCTGACCTGCCTTCAGCTTTGCTTTTTCTTTGCTCAGCTGTAACAGCAGTTTTCCTAATTGGCCAGTTATCTATGCCTAATTTCCTTTAATTTTGTTTGTCTTTGTATGGTGCAACTGTAATTTTACATAGATAGGCCTGCCAAGGAGTTGGTGCATGTAGAATGAGCTCTTTATGACTTCAACATAAAGAACTACAGACTGGTATGGCAGTAGAGGCTTCAAAAGCTGGAGGTGCGGGACATGGTCTTTTTTCAGTGGTGTCCAGAGACAGGACAAGAGGTAACGGGCACAAACTTGAACATAGGAAGTTCCATCTAAGCAAGAGGAGGAACTTCTTTACTTAGAGGGTGGCAGAACACTGGAACAGGCTGCCCAGAGAGGTGGTGGGGTCTCTGTCTCTGGAGACATTCAAAACCCACATAGACGCCGTCCTGTGGTACCTGCTCTGGGTGACCCTGCTTTGGCAGGGGGGTTGGACTAGATGATCTCCAGAGGTCCCTTCCAACTCCATGTCATTCTGTGATTCTGTGATGTTGCACAGAAGACTGCTGGTATCGGGTCATATGAGGTGGGGCACCAGCTTGGCATTAGAGACCCCTTGGCTATAAACAACTCACCAACAGTCAAAGAAATGCAGACCTAGAGGTGGACAAAATCATCTTTAGGAATAGCAAAGAGAACAAAGGGCAAATATTAAACCAGTGTAAAATGCATACATAGTAAAATCCTCTGTGAGGTAGACCTTCTGACCAAGGGAAAAAGAGCAAGGTATGAAAGTGTTTTAGCAAAGGTGATCAAAATGACTTCCAGTAGATCCTCAATTGAGGGAGAAGAATCCATTTCCACCGTCACACCCCTCCCAGTGGAGGACTCAGAATGCAGATGAATCACTGTACCTCCCTGTAAGGTGGGAGGCAGCAACATTAGTGGAAGAGTGAGCTTAACACCATGAAAATGGGTAGAAATTAGTAAGTCTGTGTATAACAATTTTAACTGTATTGTTAGTGAAGCTTTAATAATAGTAATTATTTCCTTTTTCTTTTTTTGTCTGTAATAATTTGATCTTCACTAATCACGATTCTTTCATTAAACTGTTAAGATTTCACACATGGTAATAATAAATTATTGGCTTTACATTTAAGATGTGTTTCCTTTTTGCCTATAACAAGATTTCGAGCATTAACAAAAAACATGGAGCTTCTCAGCTGGGTATGGAGGAGAGCTGATTAGACGTACAAATGCTAAAGTAGGCCTTATTTCAAGGGCTGCTTATGTGGCTGTGGTGCTCTTCAATATCTCCGCAGGAGATGGTCAATCTAACTCCTGACACTGAAGGCATCTTCATGGCATCCAAGAAACTCACAGTCAATCAACGTGTTATTCTGGGGAGCAGTGATTTTGAAAATGACTAGGTGTTGTGGGCAGACATCTGAAGGAGAACTAGAGAGACTCCAAATCCCTGGCCATTTCTTAGCGGTGACTGCTCAAGGAGCTTGAATGAATGGCTCTGGTGGAGCCTTTGGTGTAAAGAACGTCCAAGGTTTGGTGAGATGGGCCCTATCTTCAGTGTCTTTTCATGTTTGTACCAAGCATCTTTGGGCATCACAACCCGGAAAAAGGAGCATAAACTGGGAAAGAAAATAAAGTGTGATTGCGCAGTGGTCCTTGGTGGGGATTTTTCCAGCTACACTTGAATGAATGGCTCTGGTGGAGCCTTTGGCATAAAGAATGTCTAAGGTTTGGTGACATGGGCCCTATCTTTATGTCTTTTCATGTTTGTGCCAAGCATCTTTGGGCATCACAACCCAGAAAAAGGAGCATAAACTGGGAAAGAAAGTAAAGTGTGATTGCACAGTGGTCCTTGGTGGGGACTTTTCCAGCTACGCCAAGACCACAGAGGCAGGCATGTGGCAAATTGGGCTGGGCACAAAAGGCGACACCCAGGAGAAAAATCAGAAAGTCCCAACACCCTGATTGTCCTGCAATTTCATTAGAGGTATGCGGTGAGAATTCTTCAGGCAGCTGCATGCTTCAGCCCTCCCTTTTACGATGCACTTGAACCAAGGAGATTTTTTGAGATCCCCACCAGCTAAAAAGCATTAGACACAGCCGATTGCAGCCGCTTCTCAGTGCTGGTGCTCCACGACTTTGACTTGTGCGTCTGCATCATCGCTTTGACAAGCCAC